TTAAAAATTTATTAGGTTATACTCATACATGAAGTATTCAGTAATGATAATCATCATTACTGCATTGTTTATTTAGTTCTTTCATAGATATTTGTAAGAATTTTTATCGTTTTTATTTTTCAATTTCCTTTGTAATATTTTATCCTACGTATTTAATATTAACTATATATACTAGTGACCCAATTTACACACATTAGAATGAAAAAGTTGACCTATTTTTGGTGATGTATGATGATATATATATATATATATATAGTACGTGTATTAGGTCTATTTATCCTAATATTTAAGTAGATATATAATCAACCATATAACCACCACCAAACACGTAGACAATTTTAATTGTGCTTTATATTGCACAAGCTACTTAAACAATGACAAAGGTACAAAAGTGTTTATTACAGCTGACTATAACATTACATTTTTTTTCTTCTTTATGGAAGAAAGCTTTTGTGTAATTCATTATCATCATCATTATCAGCCTTTAACTGTCTACTGCTGAATATTAGCATACCCTTGGGGGGTTTTGCCAGTAGTTGCCATGTTTGGCAGGCAGATTGGCAATCGCATTTGGAGATGTTTTAAGAGGGACGCTGCTGCCCGTCCCTCGCTCTTCCTTAGTTACCTTTTATGACACCCTCGGGAAAGGAGAGGGTGGCCTATTCTATGCCGGGACCATTTGGAAATGATGCATATCGTTTTTTATTGTTTTAATCTACATATTTGATGAGAAGTAAATTTTAGTCCTAAATTAGATAATGTATTCGGAGTAACAATATAAAAGAGTCTAATATGATATATGTGTATTAGGTTTTGTGTGATTACGAAGTAAAAATATAGTGTATTTCACTTCTTTTCACGTCTTTGTAGTTAATACTCAAGATTTAACAGGCGAATAAGTGAACAAAGAATCATACACTAATAGAAGAAAATAAAGAGAGAATACTCGAAATAAAAGCGTATACTTACCAACCCGCCACTGGAACAGCGATGTAATAGCAGGCAAATATCCTCCTCAAATTAGGAGAGATCCGTGTTTAGTAATGGAACGTTAAAGAGTTGTACAAATGGTATGGTGTAACTAATTATTTCCTTAGCAAAGTCTATGTTATTGTTAAAATGTATGTAAATTCCCCGCATCTATGCGTGCCTATACAGGTCCCACAGCGGTAACACTGAAACCGACCAACTAATTGAGCACGTCCAAATGGCTACAGATTCCCTGCTTGAGCAGATTCCTTCCGCTGAAGTCGTGATTGTTGGCGACTTTAATGCCCACCATGCCGAATGGCTTGGTTCGCGTACAACCGACTATGCGGGAAGATCTGTTCATGACTTTGCTTTGGCTTATGGTCTGACACAGCTTGTTTCCTCGCCTACGCGAATCCCTGATGTGTTGGACCATTCACCTTCACTGCTGGACCTTCTGCTGACCACCCACCCAGACAATTATGTGATCTCCGTCGAAGCCCCGCTTGGATCGTCGGATCACTGTTTGGTGCGGAGCGAAGTGCCTCTTACGAGTCCGACTCCACCTCGTTCTACGGGTAGACGTCGCATTTGGCACTACAGGTCGGCAGATTGGGATGAGATGCGGATTTTTTTCGCATCTTACCCATGGAGGCAGGTTTGCTTCACACTGGATGATCCCGACGCCATTGCCGATTCCATTGCTGATGTGGTGCTTCAGGGAATGGAATTATTTATTCCTAACTCTGTGGTGCCCGTCGGCGGGAAATCCCAGCCCTGGTATGGAGCCTCCTGTAGAACAGCATCTCGTCTGAAACAGGAGTGCTTCCTAACCTGGGCTAAAGGTGTGGCGTCGCGAGATCCTAACACCAGTGCTCTTAAAAAGAAGTATAACTCTGCCTCTAGGTCTTTCAAAAGAGTTATAGCCACAGCGAAGTCAGAGCATATTAGTAGAATTGGCAAGAGACTGGCTAGTTTGCCCTCTGGGACTCGAGCTTTCTGGTCTCTTGCCAAAGCTGCACAAGGGAATTTCTGTAAGTCATCTTTTCCACCTTTGCGCAGAGAGGATGACTCGTTGGCCCAGAACGCTAAAGAAAAGGCCGATCTTCTTGGATCCATCTTTGCGTCAAACTCGACATTGGATGACGGGGAGAAACCACCACCGACCATCACGTGTTGTAGGAGCTCTATGCCTGACATTAAATTCACGCATAGCTCAGTGCGTAGAGCACTTTTCTCCCTCGAAATCCATAAGTCGAGTGGGCCTGATGGTATTCCTCCAATTGTGCTTAGGACGTGCGCACCAGAGTTGGCTCCGGTTCTTACGCGTCTTTTTCGGCTTAGCTACTCATCGGGCATAGTCCCAAAGTTTTGGAAGACTGCTCTGGTGCATCCGATCCCTAAAAAGGGAGATCGCTCAGATCCAGCTAACTATAGGCCCATAGCTATCACTTCCTTATTCTCGAAGGTTATGGAATCCATCATTAACCGTCAACTGCTCCGGTACCTAGAAGAGCACCGGCTGATCTGTGATCGCCAGTATGGCTTTCGACAGGGACGTTCGGCCGGTGATCTTTTAGCTTACTTAACACACCGATGGGCAGTGGCAATCGAGAGTAAGGGAGAGGCCTTAGCAGTTAGTCTGGATATTGCGAAGGCCTTTGATCGGGTGTGGCATAGAGCGCTGCTTTCAAAGCTACCTTCATTTGGGTTGCCTGCGAGACTGTGCATTTGGGTCGCCAGTTTTCTCAAGGAACGTAGCATTAAGGTCGTAGTCGACGGTGCATGCTCTGATTTAAAACCTTTGAATGCTGGTGTCCCGCAAGGCTGTGTACTATCTCCGACTCTGTTTCTTCTGCATATCAATGATATGTTACAGATAAGTAATATTCATTGCTATGCGGACGACAGTACAGGAGATACATTATATACCGGTCATGCAAAGATCTCGCGGGCACATACCGATGAGTGCCGGAATAGACTTGTGTCTGAAATCGAAACTTCACTCCATCAAGTTTCGATCTGGGGTGAACAAAATCTTGTCCAATTTAACCCCAAAAAGACACAAGTCTGCGCGTTTACCGCAAAAAAGACGCCGTTTGTCGTATCTCCTCACTTTCAGGGCACTTCCCTTGATAAAAAGTCAAGTCTAGGAATTCTGGGCGTTGATATATCTTGCGACGTCCAGTTTTGCGGTCATCTGGAGGAGAAGGCTAAGATAGCTTCCAAAAAGTTAGGAGTGCTCAATAGGGTGAGACGATATTTCATGCCAGAACACCGCCTGAAATTATATAAAGCCCAAGTCAGGCCGCATATGGAATACTGTTCTCACCTGTGGGCAGGAGCGCCACAGTACCAACTCCTTCCGTTAGACCGCATTCAAAGTCGGGCGGCTCGAATTATCGATAGTCAACGCCTTACTGTCCGACTTGACCCATTGAAACTGCGCAGAGATGTTGCGTCTCTGTGCATCTTCTACCGAATTTATCATGGGGAGTGTTCTGAGGAATTGTTCGGATTGATACCTGCTGCTGATTTTCACCACCGTACAACCCGCCACAAACTAAAGTTTCATCCCAATCATCTGGACGAGTGGCGGTCTTCCACCGTGCGTTTTTCAAGGCACTTTCTTCCACGCACAACCATTCTTTGGAATCAACTTCCAGCAGCAGTATTTCCGAACCGATACGACAACATAACCTTCAAGAAAAGAGTATATTCCTTTTTAAAAGGCCGGCAGCACACCTGCAATGCCGCTGGTGTTGTGGGTGATCATGGGCGGCGGTAGTCACTTACCATCAGGTGAGCCGCATGCTCGTTTGCCCCCTGTGTTGTAAAAAAAAAAAAAAAAAAAAAAAAAATTAAATTTAAAATAACGGAAGAGAAAGTTGTTATACTTTAACAAAATAACATTAAATGATGACAATAAATACAGAACATGATCAAGTTACTTAAAGATTTGGTATTATCTAGAAATATTTTAGAAAATTTAAACTAAATAAAAATTTATTATGTGTTAACTAGTATATAAATATACGTCATGTAGACATTTATTATGTAATAATAAATAATAATATGTAATGAATTAACTGATATCTTTGTAAATTAAATTTTTACCTAAAGAAAGCAAAATTTATATTTATATTTTTCCCCACTTTATACACGCGTAGCAACGAAGAAAAACTTATACTTGTTATGATAGCGTTAAAATAAGAATAATAATTGAAATTGTACAATTAGTAGTATTCGTAGTAATTAATAATTAGTTAATTAATAATTAGTAGTTTTTTATAAGTAGAAATTATTAGTAGCATCAGACCATTCTCAGTGTTGTATGTAAATGGGTCTATCTTTCATTTATTTTTCCACTTTGTCCGTATCATTTGACATGTCGCCTTCAGAAACATTAGATGATTAGGTTTTTTAATTACATCTGCCCATTTAGTTTTCAATGTTTTTCTGTCTCTAAATAGACAACTTATGACTAGACGAATACCATATCAGCCGTTAATTGTCCATTGCTAAGCATAGACCTTTAGGACCATAGGAACTGGGTTTACCAGTAGTTATCATGCTTAGCAGGCGGGTTGGCAAATTAAGTTCCCATCGTCGCCTCTTACTACACCCACGGGAAAGGAAGAGGTGACCTATTCAGCAAAACTATATGAAATATAATAGGTACATCTACCTAATTAAAATGCAGTGTTTTTATATTAGAGGAATAATCCTTATTTAGTAGAACTTTAACTTAAGGTAAGTAAATCATAATTTCTTAAGACCAAGGTATGTAAACACAGTCTGAATTGAATTTGTGGTAAAATAATTGTGTGCCTTTCATGTCACGTGCAGGCAGGGTCTCGAGAGCAAAATTACGAACGTGAGCAAACAAAACTTCCAAGCCATATATTTTTATATGAATTCGTCACCTATTCACATCGTTAAATATATAATACGAAAGATATAAAATGAGAACCTGACCATAAACTGAGGTGGCTACAACTGACTGGTCACTACGTTCTAGGTATATAATATTAATATTTTCGTTCTGTTCTTTACGTTAGCAAACAAGAAAAACTGCTGAAATTTGTCTGGAAGCCATATAGCCTGTATAAAACAAAATTATACATACAACTAGGTACTATAATGTATAATGCATATATTATACCCACATAGACTCAAATAAATCAAAAAATACTAGCTAATACATTCTACTATATAATGTATACAAGTGTTAAATTTCAATGAAACGAATAAAAATAATATTGATGTGCAAATTACTAATATCGTATTCAAACCGTACTTATTATTCTTTATGGCAAGCGTAGCGAGAGAGGCTGCCGGCAATGATTTTATTTTCTTGTTTTGTGTGCATTGTTACGCAGGACTGTTGGAGAATGGTTCAAATTGACTCGTGAACAAGAGCGTTTCGCGTAACGTTCTTTAAACAGCCAATTTGCTTGGCGACACTGCACACTAAGATACGGCGAATATAAAGGGCGGCGTTTAATGAAGACACTTATCACGTTCTCCTCGTTGAAGTGATTTGCGCTAAATTCGTCCTGAGATCTACAACTTCATAAAACACGCAGATTTGTCATCTGTAAATTAAATTACGTAGATATATAACAGTAATATTATTTATTTACATAACATTATAATCTAGTTATAAAGTGCTAAAGAGTGTAATAATTAAAGGTAAGATGCTCTATTGTTAGAGGAAAAGAAAGGGTAATAGATGATGACCCTGTTTACTTAAACTAGATTTTTACTCCAGCTACATTACATATATGTAGATACATACGTTCTCTTGTATTAGGATATCATAAGTATACCTACTCAAATAAAAAATTCCATCTTCTTAATTTAGGTATAAAGTTTATAACAAAGTTTATAAATAATGCTAATTTTCCATTTAATATTTTTACCATGGATATGGATTATACTTCATTATTTAGTAAGTAGGTGAAAGTCCCAATTTTATGAATCTTCTGTGGATATTTGAAGTATTATAAATTCTGCTTTATTGATATTAAGTGCTGTTTTTATATTTAACACTTACCTATATTCAATGTTTTGTTCAATCACTTGGAATTTCTAAACGCTTCTTCCAATTATTTCAACTTTTGTTATTGCTAAACAGGTTAGATGAAGTGTCCAAAATGTTCAACCACTCGAATTAATTATTCACTGAACATTAACCAAATTCATGACAGAAATTTCTCTACAATCTACTAAAGTAATTAATTATGGAATTATTTGTCAGCTTCCCGAGAATGTGAAATCTTTTTACCGAGGTGTTTGCTAGACAGCTTCTATCTTTGATTAGAAATATAAAGAGCTTAAAATTGAAATCCCCACGTCTGTCTGCGTTAGCTTTTTGAAATTCGGTATAAACAATAATATGTTTTTTGATAATTAATTTTTGTGAATTTGTCACGACATGTCGGTCCAATGACTTGACTTTATCTTCACCTCCTGGCATGCTGCTGGTCTATAAAAATGAATAGGATTGATGTTTCCTTTTTTTCTCATAAAAAATCACATGAATACGATGCTTTGTATACTACAGAGATCGAATCCTCTCTCGAAGTATCCGAAGTCTAGTCTAGCTCTAAGTAACCGCTACAATACTAAGATCTCCAATTTAACATTATTACTATGTACTCATAAATGTAACATATTAATCAGTTAAAAAAGTCACCATCAATTTTAATAAACTTGAAGAATGGAATCGGAATTTTATGGGCGAGTCGTAAAGTTGGTCCCGGCTTTATATGTAGGCCATGAGTTCGCCCACCTGTAGCTGTGGTGTTGTTATGTGTGCAAGACACCTCCAAGGCATGCCTCAAACGTTTCTACGTGGAGGGACTTAAAAGGCCTCATTAGCTAGTTTATTCAGGACCAATAGGTCGGTACTGGCAGCTTTCACTATTTATCTATTTAATTATACAACAACTTTCAGTTTTCAATTTACATTTCAATTCTCTGAAAAAATTTTGTGTATAGTTTACACGGTATTTTATGGTATGGACAAAATATAAAACGTTGTGTTATGATATTTTATACTAATATACTAACTCATAAACGTTTACCTTATAATAATAATTTTTTCTCGTACCTTTTCTGCTTTACATTACCCGCTAGTCATTTTTTTCTCTCACTGCATTGGGTTGACTGGAAGAGATCTCATACAGAGATAAGCTCGCCCTTGCTAACAAGTTGTTAAACTAATTACTGTATCTTTATTTTCAAGTGCAATAAAGAATATATATATATATATATATATATATATATATATATATATATATATATATATATATATATATATATATATATATATATATATATGAGATGGGAAAAATAATATGCTGCTTTTTATTCCAATTACTGAACATATTACGTGAACGAAGTCACGGGCAAATTTATTTTTGAATGGACAATTCTCTTATTCAAAGTGGAACATTTTCTTTACCTTAAATAATATACCTAATAACAATACCTAACCTACTTAGAACAACAGATACTCGTCAATACTCAGTAGTAGTGAAATAAGTAAACATATAAAATAAATAAATATGAGATTAATAGATAAAATTAATTGTCCTGTTCGTTTTTATAGGTGACAATTATTACTTTTTATCAAATGGACTATGAGGTCCTTTTTTATTTTCAGTTGCATGAAAAAAATTTATAAATATTTTAAAATAGGTATGTAATTCTTTCTAAAAGTCATGTAACTTACTTGACTATATTATAGTTACTATACTATAGTATTTAGTTAGATTAAACATATTTAAATCTCATCTCTATAGTCTTAAAATGAGTTACTTCGATATGAACTTAATCAGTTGTAGTTTAAATTAATAAATTCTTTAAAGTCTGGACAATATCAAGAACAAATAGATTGTCTAATAATGTCGACAACACAATTGGGTCATTGATATTTCACCAGAATAATACAAAATATTCCCTGTCGAATACGTTTTAATACAACCATCTGTATGTATCCGGCTTATCCTAGTGGTTTAAATGGCAAATGAATCAAGGGGACGATAGAAATAGTGGATGGATTAAGCAGCGTAAGGTTGTCAAGGGATATAGTCGTATATATATAGAGATGTTCTCACACAGGGCCGACCTAACCTTTTACTGAGATGCCTTGGGCAAGTTTTTTGATGAAACCCGGCGCCTTACCTGACGGCGAAAACACAAAGGTAATCGGGGATCTGATCCTATGGCGCCTCTTAGATTTCGGCGTCTTTCATGGTCCTGTCACTACCGGACGCCACTCAACCAAATCCCCGCCCCCGCAACTGGTCACACAAAAAAATGCTTAAAAATCTGTTTGGCAACATATTGTGCGTGGGTATAAATATGCCTAAAATAATGTACAATCAACAAATCTATTTTATTGAAGTGATTCACGTCGTATATATTGTTTAGATAGATAATGCTTACTTTCTTTCGCCGAGCTAAATGTTTTCCTAAACGATTATGTAAAGCGTTTTGAGTGTCGAGTGACAAAAAGGCATTTTGAGTGAAGAGAGCCTTTTCAAGCGCCTTCCAAAATAGGAGAGGGTCTCATTTCGCCTGTATCTCTTTGTGTATGTGATATTGTTGTCAATTCTAAATATTTTGATAATTCTTTGGGTTTGCTCCCGTGTTGTTCCCATATTAATATTGTCACGATTTATGTTGCTTTTTCTTTCTGAATATATTAATAATTATTTTTGCAATCGATACGGTTTACTCCAGTTTATGGGGGGAGAAGAATTGTTAAATTAAATGTTAATGGGAATTAGTAATTCCATTACGAGCATTGTGATTAGCAATTCTCTATCAGGTGAACATCTACGTGGTTAATTATTGTAGAATTCGTCACGAAAGGCCAATTGACCTGCTTTCGTTCTCATCTATCATACGTCGCTGATGTCCCATCTGTGTATACCGATAGTACAGACGGGATTATCATTAAATTGACATGAATTGAATAAAATCCCGTGTGTTGTGGCTGTTTTTGTTATGGTACAGTGAAATCTACTTTCTTAAGTACACCTGTTATCAAAATTTTAAGATTTGTTTTTATATTTTTAGCGGTTTTTACATCTCAGTATGCATATGTTCGATATCGACACGGGCGGTACCGCAGGGGGCGGGCGGCTGCCGCTGGCGGCCGCTCCCAACGTGCCCTCATTATTGCTTATATGGGACTACGAGTGGACACTTTATTGTGCTCATTTTACACATTCAAACTATTTAATATGTAAAGTAGTTTGTCCTTTTCAAAATCGGTAAAGCTATTGTTTTGTCTTCTATTCTTTGAATACTAATAATAATCATGTATTTATTACTATTTATGTACTATTTACAAATTATAGCGGAGGTGTAATGGTGTAATTCGTCATTTTGATAAAATAATGTTTAGATGTGATTTATTTACTTATATGACATAGTTAGAAGATAGAGAGTGTTGCTGGAAAATTGGCGACCTATTTTTGTGTTTTTTTTTTATATTATTCTGCTTCAAATTAAAAAATAATGTATGTTTTTAACACCTTTTTTTGTTAGTTTAAATATACAGTGTACATATGTTGGTTTTATTGTTCTCCAATTAAAGGTATTTTTTTAGAAAAATGGTACATTTATTTACATATTAAAATAAGAAATAATGAGTACTAATATATTTATATCATAATCACATGGCATGATTTGACAATTTAAATGAGTTTCAAAAAAATACTTTTCTAACTTTCTACTTTTGACAATAAAACATAGAAATACTATACAACATCAAATTTATGACTGTACCTATATTTGTGAAAATAAATTACTGATTGATTAATATGATGTTTGTGTTTTAGTTTAAATGGGTTCGATGGAAGATGATAGAGAAATTATTGAGTACAGAGTAGGTATTTAATACCACCACCACATTCTTATTATTGGTAAAGCATGAAGGTACCACTGGCGCCACAGCCTATTTTGTGGTGACGATTACCACTTTCTATAAGATGAGCACAATGTTTTTGCAATTCGAATATTTTCAAGTTATAGCTATATGAGTATTAAAGTATAAGGTAAAAGTAACAGAGTTATATTTTTTCACAATTTGTTTTTAATAGATGCAAATGAAGTGTTAGCCCCACCTGCAGCATCAGTATACACTGGCGGGTACCAGTAAGAAATGATAGGTGAGAATGAAAGTGGATTACGGAGCAGTCAAGTCACAACCTTATCGACGTTAACATAAATACTAACGTAACTTAAATCTTTATACTCACACCAGGCACACTGATAAGATAACCAAACGCTTGAATATAAGCTCTACACTGCTTTGTAAATTAGAAGTCGACGTATCACCCACATTTAGTTTTAAACTACGAGCGGCAACTAATTAATTTAATTCGTTTAGACTCTTTGTACTGAGAACAAATCCACAATAAACATAAACAATTTACTTTCGCACGTTTGAGCCTAAAATTTAAATAGATAGGATAACCAAGTTCTGACTTAATCGATTTAAATAATAGACATTTTATATTATTCTGACAAAACATGCCATCAAAACGCAAAGAAACGTCGCAAATGAATAAGTAAGTACCTTTTAAATTGAATAAATTTGCAAGAGCTTCTATGTAATATAAAATTCAATCATCTAGATACTTGAATAAATTATATCAACTTTTAAGTACTTCTTATACCTAATTCAACAATTACTATAAAAATGAGTAATTAATATTTAATATTAATTTTAATATTATATATATATATATATATATATATATATATATATATATATATATATATATATATATATATATATATATATATAGTTCTTCTCAACAACAACAACAACACAGGTCTAAAATGAACATGAAGAAGACTAAAATCAACGTCAACCATTGACGTTCGTACAACCGGTTATAATTGAAAACACTAAGCTCAAAATTGTAGACGAGTTTGTATACCCGGAAAAACTTGTCCGACTAGGAAAGTCCAATTTCGACGGAGATCTCAACCAACGAAACCAATTTGACTGGACAGAGTTCGAAAAACAACACTACATCACACCCAAAACATCAGAAAATTTGAAGACGAAGGGGTTTATCGGTACGTGTTGCCAGTGATGACCTATGAAACTGAAACATGGTCTGATTGCAGGGAGACAGTAGATGCAAGTAGCTTAAAACCGTTCCTTGTGGCAGTCTACGAAAGAGGACTATGTTGAGCAGTAGACAGATAACGACTGATGTGACAATGAAAAAATATTTAATATAGTAACATGTAATCTGTGGTTTAATTCACCCCAACAGATAATCTTTAATATAAAAAAAACCTATTTTTACTCCAAAGAGTTAGGTACGAGTTTAGTTATGTATTTTTGTACATATATATATTTTACTGTTTCCTTATAGCTTCTAAACTTATATGACTTACATTTAATCTTATGTTTTACCAGAAAGTAACTTTGTACAGTCTGCCACAAACAATTTGCTCCTTTGACATTGTTATAGTAAGTTATTACTAAATCGAAAATAAAAATAAATCTAACGTAAACGAATCGAAATAGAGCAAAACACTTATTTCATAGTTTTATAATTTCTATTTGTAAAATCTGTACATAAAGATATATAAAAAATAAAACACTAAAATAAACATACTATATAACAAACAATGGTACATTAAAAGAATGAAAGGAATCAATAGAATGGTCGAAGGTAAATTAGGTATATCAATGAAACGGGAGCTTTAAAATAAAATCTTACGATAGCTACCTGCTTTAAAAGATTTTATTTATTGCGCCATTTTCACGTCGTTAGGAAGTACGTTTCAGAGACGTGCAGCACGTGCGATAATTTGGTATTATATAGGCAAATTGAGAATCAAATCATTATTGTATTCAAGCGAATATCAGATTGCCAATGAAAGTTTGAGATTTTTCTAAAGGCAAAGAAAAAGAGGATATAAGTAGAAGAGAAAATTAAAAATGTGAATATTATAAAGGTTTATTGGAAGCCACTTAAATAAGTTACAGTAACTAGAAATATGAAAGTTCGTCCTTGCTAAGATTATTAACATATCGAATTGACACATAAGTTTTCTTAACCTTTAGGTTTATCAATCAACTCTTGTAGGGCTAGCTGTGTTATATGTCAGCATAATCATGAGCAGAAAGAGGAAAGATTGAATCAGCAATAATTTTGTATTTGAAGAAATTGTGCAAGCGCCTTAAAGAGGGAAGGGTGGCATTTATGTCGATTTGAGGAATTTTATCAGTATCAAGAATAAACCCACAATTATATAGTGATCCTTTATAGGAATGAAACTTCTTTGGATTACATTTTTACTGTTCCTTATATATTCTAAATTGACTTTCGGAAATTCTTACTAGATCAAGAAATAATAATTCCACAAAAACGAAGCCTGATCAAGTCGACTTTCTAGCGGGCCACTATGCAACCCATCATGGTTATAGAGAATTCGCCACGATGGGTTAGTCTAACTTAAGTCTCATCATTTCATCTTCCACTGGTGTCCTGACATTGTATACCATTACCATAGTCCTTTTACCTTTTAAAGAATGTAATAAGTCATCAAAGTTTGCTGTAAAAGAACTCCGAACGTACATGTAATTCCTAAAAAACTTGATACTATGATATAACAAGATATTTTAATAGACGATTTATTAGATTAATGTTTACTTCAACATATTTCATTAACTGTTGACAAAATTTAATTTATGTGTGTGGAGGCTCTGTGTATCATATAAATTGCGTTTAACGTGACATCATCCGTGGGAAGAGGAAGTTGATTGAGCGAGGCGGTGTCGAGCTCACGAGGGGTGTTTATACCGCAAACGTTTTGCGGAAGTATTGAGCCCATGTCATGTTTACACACCTTCCTAGGAAGAATGTCCAACTATTATATATTTCTTCGTTGATAACATCTGTTGGCCCTTTTTATATCTACTTGAACACTATCTCATTCAAAAGATATGTCTCTTAATAAAAAAAAATATGTCAAACCACAGTTTAATTCACACAAATTCCTTTTAGTTATTTTGAAGCAGAATATACCTACATATACAGAATTAATAAAATCTATTTATACAACTAATTCTCTTCGATAAATCCCATACGAGGTAAGTAGAAAGGACTGAATGCCAATAATAGTACCTAATAACAAATTATTACTTTTATTTGGAACGCTTCTTATTACGTTGAACAGTAGATATGAGATCATGTTCAGTGTAATGTTTTTTTTAATGGCTTATAATGGAATGGTTACCCCGCCTGCGCTAACGCTATACACAGGGGCACCAGTAACGGATGATAGGTGACGATGAAAGCAGACCAGTTAGCTCATCGTAGCGAATTTTACTAGAATTAATCACAATGGTTTTCAGGGAAAATCGCGTGGAGGTCGGCCTGGTGTATTGCTAGTAATGGGTCAGCAAGACCCCATTTCTAATAGTGTTATTACAACACTGTAATTAGTGTTGACACTTGGCATTTCTGATGATTTTGGACGAAGGTATATAATAATTCATAGCAAGTATGACATCATCAACAATTGTCGCCGCAAATGAATAAGCATTATTTGCATTGAAATAACGTTGTCGCTAAGGAATAGACGTGAAGTAGGCATTCATTCCTTCCCAATTGGTTAATGATTAATACTTGTTTTTAGTATGCTATAACTGAGGATAAAGAAAAAGTTAATATGTTGTTACAATAAGACAATATTGACGAATGATGATGGCTTTAATTTCGATTCTGTAACCGATCGTATTAATCGTCAGCAAAAGGTCCAACCAAATGGTTGAGTTATTAACCTTGAATAGCATTATTGTAAACTGATCAATCGTTTGAGTTACTCCATGAGAGGGAGCAAAATTAAAAGCGGTTCTACCGGCAAGAACTCAACCCAACCTCTTTATAAAGAGCATTAAAGGCCCCCAGAAATACTATCTGTGTTGGAAGCCGCTCATGCTCTACATTAGTTTCTCCACTCAAGTACTCAAATAACCGGGTAGTCTTTGTGTCACCGAGATAGGATCTGTATAGGCATACAAAAATCCGGTCCCATATTCATGTGCACCCATAAAACAAAAAAGAAAAGATCCTCCAAGAACGGGAGAGGTTGGCAACAAACCTCCAATCGGAAAAAGGCAGTCCTGGCCTTTACCAAAAAGTTTTTCTGCAACGAATAGATAAGATAAATCTGCAGGACAGGATCTGAGTTTGAGTTACAAAAAGCATTTTCATTTTTACAGTTTCAAAGTGTTGGTGGTGAGTAATAAAACTGAAATCTAAATCGCATATACTTCAAAGTTGCAAAGTTTTCAGAAAACTCAGTTTTGAGAGTATGCTGAACCGCTGAAACATCAATTCGTCAATTATTTCTTATCATGTTCGAAATGAGGTAAAAAAGGCGTGTAATTGTCTTCTAAGACAATGTTACGTGACATATTGGACAAATTGTACGGACTGCCTGTATTCAATTAGAATGTATTCGTTTTCTGTACATTCCGTGATTGGAGTGGCGAGAGAGGGCTCAATAGAAAAATTAACTAGGATTGTTACTTTTGTAAAGTAAATTGAAGTATGCCCTCCTATCTATTAATCTTATATTAAACATTAAATAAATATAAATAAACTTGGCCAGTCTTTTTATCGAAGAAACAATTAATAAAATAAAAAAAATAGCTAAAATAAAAAAGTTATATGGAAAATATTTTTTTCACTTATTTAGTAATATGTTACATAAAAACATTTTATGAACTTGGAAAAAGCAATTTTGATAACTCTATATTACAAAATCTTTAAACCTCATAAGCACCCTTTAGACGTTTCTCTTCGCCCACTTGGCATTCCTATTGCCATTTTTTTGTTTCTTTCTATTCCTTTAGCATTTCGAATTTCCTCATTTTTATAAAATTTAATATATCAACTTACTTTTTAGAACAACAATAATTACAACTTACTTTTTATATAATCAGAAGTAAAAATTTTACTTACATGTTTCGAAATATCGTCACCTCTATGGCAAATTTACGAATATGCAGTTTTTTCAAATTTGACATTTCTTTAATAATCTACATTTTGCGCCATACTACTTATTGTGGCTTATTTTCAATTTTCTATCTCTAACGGTTAAAGAAATCGAGAAGCTCGAATCCCTATATTTTTGTGATATACCCAAAATAAACTTACTTAGCATATTTTTATAGTATTTTCTATAATAAACACTTTAATTTGAAAATTTCAATAATTACTTTATCAATTTTTCAATCCTAAGTTAGTTATTTTGCATTAATAATTGCTATAACGTTGTTATTTAAACTGAAGTTTTCTCCAAAACACGTGATTTAACCTTGATATATTTACAAAAGTGGCACTTTCGTTAGTTTGCCAGATATTAAAATAAATTATTTTCTTTGGCAACTTATGAAACTGCCACTTTCGTAGATTTGCTGTTGTATAACTCAATACCTAGAAACTCGCATATATGAAGGTGCAAAGTAACTGATGATTAATTAAGTGCATTCAATAAAAACAGAATTTTAAAACTGTTAGCATGATCTTTTACAGTAGTCTTCTGTCAAAAGTTATTTACATTTTAATGTTTCAAAACGTTCCCCTGTAAAATGTATCTTTTTCAGTTTCGTAAGTTTACCATAAAGGTGACGATATATGCACTGCAAAAAATAAACTACGGCTAAAATATAAAGAATGTATTTAACTTAAAAATTATGCACTTTCGCACTACAACTTTCAAAAATATTTTCGAGTTTTTAAGTTTTCTGTTAAACCTATTAAGTTTTGACATAGAATGAAATATGTTTGGAATTTGATAACTGTTACTTTAAAATATAAAAAAGTTTATTTTACTAAAATACTATTTGCATCATAGAGAAAAAAGCTTTAAAATTTATACTAATTTTTTTCTATTCGCCCTTCGATTTCTATTAACGCCATTTTAAGGTATGGATAATATCAGATTAGGTAAGATTTTTTTTGTGTAAAGTCGGTAGGTAACTATCCGACCACTTGCAAAATAACATAGAATTATTTTATAAGTAATACGTGAACCTGACATTGCCACTTATTTAATTAAATTAATTTATCTGTGATTTTAATTTATTTTACCATAGAAAAATCATTACTCCATAATTTTTTTTTACATTACGATTGGTACTCAAAATTTGTTAATATACAGATTTGACATTTAATGACTACAAAAAATACAATTTCTATTAAAATGGAAAAAAGACTTCACGACCGAAGCTGCGAGCTGAAAGTGATTTTTGTTTTATTTGTTCGTGCAGTAAGATTTAAATGATTGCTGCGTAAAATAGAACGTTAAAATTTAACCATAGACACATAAGTAGTTTTGAAAATTATGTTGCAATATAAAAAAATTACTTATTTTTCCCAAACTCAATATTCATTTAATCGAAAATGAATTTATGTTTTTTTTTTTTATTTTGTGTAAAATCAATTTGTTAATGTGGAAAGCGCAAACTCCTTTATTCCTCATAGTGAAATAGGGCGCGGCAGGAATATGGCGTCGCTCGTCTCAAATAATTGGCTTGGCGGTGTAATCGCGCATGCGTCATTTTATCAACATGCCTCTGGCCAAAGACAATTTTTGTAATCTGGCAAATTTTCTTTTTTGTTTATAGGTTATGTTTTAGTGATAATTGTCAAAATTTATGTTGAATATTTTGCTGTAATTCGTTGAGAAATTAAGTTATGGACTGGATATAAGTTATCGTATAGTGAATAAGAAAACCGATCAATAATACCCTTCTAATATTTTGTATTAATGGCTGTGTAATCTCAAGTGTTATTTGACATTGAATTGAGATGTGAACAGGAAAGTCAATACGCACTTCTACAACGATCTATTATCTACGGGAAGTAGAAAATTACCACTGTACTCAGCTAAGTAGTTTGAAAACTCTCATAATCCACTATTAGTAGTAGCTTCATAACAGATTAACAAGATGACGATGAGTCAGTTGTCCGTATTAAAACTGTACAATACTGTAGTGGACGATGTTATTGCGGGTGTCCGTGATTGTTTTTTGGATGATGGTGTCGATGAACAAGTATTGCAGGAGTTAAAACAATTATGGAAAACAAAATTACAGGCTAGTGGGGCAATGGATCCTCCAATATCTGAACCTGCTATGCCACCACCTGTATTACAAAATTTCCAAAAAGCTAATGGTAATAATGTATTACCCAAAAGGTCAGCTGACGGCATGATGGCTCAGGGCTCTAGCCAACAAAACTCTGTGGTCGAACATGGTGCACCTACATCTAATATTGCTGGCACACATCCACATCATGTTTTAGATCCTAATAATAAAGTACCTGTTCAATTGACCTTACCTGCTCAACCAGGAGTACCCGGATCACAAGCACGGTCCTTCACTATTCAAATACCTGCATCAGCTCTTAATGGTAACAAGTTACATCAAGTTCTTACTGGTCCTATCATAAATGCTACAATAAGTTTGCCACAGCCCCTTGCTGCCACTTTACTTCAACAGCACATAAATTCAGCATTAGCAGGGCAACAGAATGAATTTGATGGCGGTGGGGGAGGACGCAGTGGTGCTGCTCCATTTTCTCTAGATGGTGCTTTAGACTCATCTGATGATGAGGGGTCGAACGTTGGGGATGCATCTGATGACGGGGCCGGAGATGATGATGAAGATGAGGAATCTGCAGAAGAACGTGCGGAAGAAGAAGAAGAAGAGCGTGATGAAAGTGGTGGTGCTGAGGAGGAACCTCTTAATTCTGGTGATGATGTGTCAGATGAAGAGCCTGGTGATATGTTTGATACAGATAATGTTGTTGTGTGTCAGTATGACAAGATTACACGTAGTCGCAACAAGTGGAAATTTTACTTAAAAGATGGCATTATGAATCTAGCTGGTAAAGATTATGTCTTTCAAAAAGCAAATGGTGATGCAGAATGGTGAAACAATTGTATATATATATATATATATAGACAAACAGTGTGTATTTTTATTAACAGTGTAACTTGTTATACCCTATGGCTGTTCACTAAGAATGAAAAAAGGATCCAAAAAGACATTGGTTGAAATATTATTTTAAAATAAGGGTCATCATAGACTTTACCACAATTATCAATTGGTTTTATAATAAATTTAAACATTAATTAATCAATAAAAGTACTCCTGTAACTTAATATATTAGTGAATATATAGTTTTTTTCAATAGATGCTAATGGAATAGTTACCCTGTCTGCGCTATCAGTATACACTAACAGGATACCACTGCGGGATGATAGATGATCATGAAGCAGGTCAATTATAAAATAACTAAATATAACAATGTAAACAACAGTAAATCAATCACAATGGTTTCCAGGAAGAACCATGTGGAAGTCGACCTAATAGAGGTATATTGCTAGTAATGGAATTGCTAATCTCTATTACTAACAATCCTTTCCCCTCCCCCCAATATATAGTTTTATAATAATATCAATTATAATTATTTTTATTATTTTGTTTTAGAAATGAAATAATATTACAAAGAGTTTTAATAGGGAGGGAAAGGGATTGTTAGTAATGGAGACTGAGAATCCCATTGCTAGCAATATACCCAACCAGGTCGACCTCCCCGCGGTTCCCCCTGGAAAGTATCATGGTTATTTCCTGATGAATTCATCATGATGGGCTGACTGGCCTGCTTTCATTCTCATCTATCACCCTTCACTGGTGCTCCGCCGGCGTATCCCATTAGCGCAGGCAGGGTTACCATACCATTTTGACCCATCAAAAAAAAAAGAGTTTTAATAGTTGTGGGTAAAGTCAATGTTGTTTTATTTTAGTTGTAATAAAATGTGAATTTAGACTTGAAGAGTAGAATGATTTCTGACCTTTAAATTGTTACTGCTTTATTCTTTCAATAGCAGAACTAAGCCAATAGCTATATTCTTATTTAAAAAAAAATTCTCAAAATGTGTCTGTGGAATATAGTATTGCTAGTTAAGTGGAACCTGTAATAGTTCCATTCAGCTTCTATTGTAATCCGGCATTAAACTTCAATAAATCTGTGTGTATGTATGTCAATATTTAATATGGGCAGGTTGCTATTTTAGCTTCACTAAAGGTGGTTTTTTTTACAAATTCTTGCACTGAAATATATATGCTAATTATCTATTTTATGTAAATAGTGTGCCATAAAATGTGAACTACAATAATAACTTGTAGCTACTTTAATAGCAAAATATGTACCCATTGTAATCACAAAATTTTGTTATTGTATTGTGTGTACTAATATTTCTATTAAGTACATTCTATGTTTTGAAATTATTAGCTTTCATTAAACATATACATTTCATATTTAGTGGAGCTAATTAGCATTATTTTATAATAATTAAGTTTCAAACATATTTAAATGCTTACAATTATCATTTGGTTCTATGAGTAGAATTAGGTTTTATTTGACTGAATAGTCATTATGTTTGATTTATTATAAAAAAATTCTGATTTTATCACTATTATTATCTGTTACTATGTATTGTACATTATCCATTATTTATTTTATTACTCAAGTAATATGTATTAAAAAAATATCTTTTTTATTTTCTAAAAATAACAGGTGATCAGGGAGGTTTTTTGTAGATACTTAATATAATTTTAATGCACAGAGAAATCTTAAGGTAGTTTTTTAAATAATCATTAATAGTGAAGTATTTGGCTATTACTCAATTTTCACTTTGTTAAATGAGATTTTTATGTGACTCAATTATAATTTAAAACAATTCAAAGTACTAAAATTAGGTGGGTATTGCTTATTTGCAGCAGTTATCATTAGTCAATAAACCAGAACTTGTTTATTTTTAAGTACTATGTTTGGTTATAATAATTATAAGGATTCTGTGTCAATTATGTTTACTATCACGATAATTAGGAATTGGTTATGTAACTCAGTTCCCATTGATTCTTTGTAATGAGTTGAAATTGACACTGCCATTAGAGATTTACCATTTCATAGTTTTAGTTGCAATAAGACTTGCATCACATTGTAACTATAATTGTTAAATAGAAAAACTCGGTCCATTTTAATACATTTTATAGAAAAATAGGTACTGAGTTACAAAAAAGTGCTGCTGGTCACCAGAAAATGAAGACAAATTACTTTTCTAAATTTATTATTTACCTTTATTCACAAACTTGAGTTTATTTTGCACATGTTTTGGACACTAAGTTAATTTAAAATGTTGAACTATAACTTTAAAATGTCTTAGTAGCTGCTCGATGAGTTAACAAAGCCAGTAAGTTCTTTAGTTACTTCACAAATAATATAAGTTACTTATGGTTTATTTTACGCCCCTAGCTACATAATGAACAGTTTGATGAGGATTGTAATTATAATAATATATGTTGCATTAAATATTGTCTTTTACTAAAAACAAAATGTTACCTGTAACTTTCCCTGCAATAAATTCCAATAAAATAATACTTTCTGTTCATCTATAACTATGGATTACTGTTATTTTTTTGCTAAATCTCCTAATCTGTTAAACCTAAGGGTCTGCAGACGAGGGATAATTCTCAGGATAATTATGTCCATCAACATTGAACATAAATTTGTATTGCCTATCATACATCAATTACTGGCAATGCAAAATCGAGTAACTACAATAAAAGAATATTTATATAAGCCAACCCGCCTGCCAAGCGAGGCAACTACTGGCAAAAGTACACTATGGGGAACGCTTATGTCCAGCAGTGAAAATTTGAAAGCTGAAATAATAATATATATGTTGCATTCAAAACTCTTAACAGTCAAAAGTACTTTTGACTGAGCAAGTTTTTTTTAATAGGTTGTTATGGTATATATCGACGAGGCACTAGTGGAAAATGATAGGCGAGAATGAATGCAAGTCAGTTCGCCCACCATAATGAATTCGACAAGAATTAAACATCATTGTTTCCAGGGGGAACTGCGTGAAGGTTGACCTGAGAGGGTAGATAGAGGTATTGATAGTAATGGGGCTATTAGACCCCATTACTAACAATCACTTTTCCCCCTGACTGAACAGGTACAGTACTTTGGTAGGTTAGGTTATTTTAGTCAAAACTATTATTGACTAAAACATCCGGTCAAAAGTACTTTTGACTGCTATATATATATATATATATATATATAGATATATATACCAACTCAAGAGAAAAGAGAGGACTCCAACACTCACACCTCCATTGCAACAAAAGATGCGACATCGACATAAATACATCAATATGTCGGCTAGTGCCCAGTGACCAGAAGGTTGTGGCCTCCGGAGTTGAAGCCGGGGTAGTGGGGTTCGCCCCCAGGCCCCTACCTGACCTGCCACCTTTATATGGCGGGTACCTTTATGAGCAAAATAGTATATACTCTGTTATGTCCATAGTACTGCTCATGTCTGTACACGACGGTTACCGCTTTCCATCAGGTGGACCGTCAGCTTGTTTGCAATTCTAAATTACATAAAAACAAATATCTGGATTGATTGAATACATGACGCTAGAGTATATTTAAAAAATTACTACCAATGCTGGTAAGTCACTAGTTATAACTAATTAAGTGTAATTATGATAATGTTTTTTAAAATAAAATATTTACTTTAACAAGAATAAAAAGAAAGTAAATACCAATTTAATTTACAAAGGTATCTTTAGTATGCCTTTCCCCTCGCATATTACACTTGACCATTTTTATTTCTGTGTTTAAGTAGAACTTGAATAATTATATTATTATTCTTTTATTTCTAAAGTATAAATACATAAAAAAAATTGTGACAATTTTGCGTAAATATTCAGCTTTCATTTTGTAAAACTATGTCATCAATTTTTAACTAATCCGACCCTGTGAAACATAATTCTATTTCTGCCACATTCTAGGAACGCACAATTCAAGGTGCGTTTTAATATGTCTAGTCTGCTATACATCTTTATGAGTACGAAGAATATGTATTTTGATGCAGTTATAAAAAATCGCCGGACTGTTATATATGCACATATTCTAGAAAAACAACTACATAGTAGTAAGAAATCTTTAAAGATTCTATTATAATTATACTTCGATGTTGTAACAACTGCAGTTGCATATAGATATAAGTATGTGAATACTGATATGAAGAAGTCTCTTTTCAGTCTACACGATTACAATTTTCATAATTTATCCATTATTATTTTTATACTACTCCAACCAGAATGAAAATTATTATACTTAAATATAGTTTCCATAATTATGTTGCTTCACAGCGAACTTTTATGAAATATTTATTGTCAATTAATTATACAAACAGAATTCGGTATATCGGATTGTACAAAAGAGCATTTTTTAATAACCTAAGGCAAAATAAAACTTGTCTTGTGGTCCCGGCATAGAATCAGATACCCCTTTCTTATCTGTAGTTATTCGTTAGAGGCGACTAAGGGAACTTAATTGTCGAGGAATGAACAGCAGCATCCTTCTTAAAACATCACCAAAGCCTAACTCCGGTTGCCTGCTAAGCATGCCAACTACTAGCAACTCCCCCACAGAGGAAGCCTATGTTCAGCAGTGGACAGTTAACGGCTGATATGATAATAATAGTCATGTGATTCCACTATAGAATAGGCCACCGCGACCTTTTCCGTAGATGTACGAAGCGACTAACGGAATTTAATGGTCGAGGGATGGGCAGCAACGTGCCTCTTAAAACCTGCCAAGCTTAAAAATTACTGGCAAAATCCTCTTTATAGGGGAGGCCTCTGTTCAGCAGTGGAATATTAACGGCTGATATGATGATGTTCTCCTAGTGCTAGTCTAAGTAATTGGAATTCTAATTTATGCCTAATAAAAAAAAATACACTTTTCCTTTAATACTAAAAACATTCAATATCTTTTCCATTACACTAGATTCAATTTAGTAAAATGATATTTCACAAAAAATAAGTTAGACATATCACTAAATGTTTTCAAAAATATGACGTAAGAACATCATCGACATCCAGTGATTTCGTTGTATCCCTAGGTATTTCACGAAATCCCTTGTATCATCATTTTCCTACAACATATATACTGTCTAACATATAATACAAAACCCACAAACAAAGTCGAACCTGTTGAATGCTTATGTGTTCGCTCTTAGTTCATTCTCTCACGGCTTGTATACGGAGCGGTCGACGTTTGTCAAATCTTCCCTTCTCGACACACATTTCTATTTTTACTTTTTCTTTACAATATTCCCTGTATAAATGATTAACCTAATTCTTTTGTTTGTTTCAGACTTTCGTGTGTGGCTGTGAGATAAAGTGTTGATATTTCATAGATAAAGAGTTCTTTTTTACTAAAATGTCGTGTTTCGGAGGTAGCGTCTTAATACCAGATTGAAAAAAGCGCGTGTAGACGATGGTGTAAAGTGTGAAGTAGTGATGTGAGTGTGTGCGATACAGAGCAACTTCAGGGATAGCGCCACCATGCTGCCTACAAATGTTATGTCTTTTATGAAGAAGGTAAGTCAGTTCTAATGTTTAATTCGATAGTCGTAATTGTATTTTTAAATCTCAACTTAAAAGGGCAATGGAAATAATTTGTCATAACGAAGTCATTTTTAATTTGTCGGAAAATATTTCCAACAAAGTAACGAAATGTTGTTATCCGTAATCAATCAAAAAGTCACGTAGGGCCTCCGCAACAAAGCGTCCATTTTGAAATAATTGGAAAGTCGCGTTTACTGTAATGCCTACGTCAACCGACGGTTAGATGTTATTGCTGCTATGCCCTTAATTAAAATTGTCTCTATCATAGGCTACCGTCGCGTGTTGCCCCATGCTACCTCAAGCTAATTTAAAGCTATATTAAAGAAGCTTATAAAGCTATAAATTTAGATATTATAATGTTTATGTATATTTCTACGTGTAACTAACCATAATTAGCTGTGTGGTTGACCCTATATATATACCACCTATTCTATGTATAATTATATATATAAGAAAGGAAGGGACCTTTCCCGTGGGTGTTATAAGAGGTGACTAAGAAATTAATGGTCAGGAATGAGCAGCAGGGCCCCTCTTAAAACATCACCAAAAGCCTAACTGCGTTTACCAACTCATTTGCAAAGCGTAACAGCTACTGGCAAAACCCCGCTTACAGGAGTGGCCTATGTTCGACAGTGAACAGTTAATGGCTGCTATGATGATGATGATGATGAACCATAATTATTAAAGTAACATTAAAGTATATATAGGATTAATTTTTGATTATACGACAATGAGAACAGAACCTGTCACAAAGAAAACGTAATTTCATTTCATTGACTAAATTGATGTCGCTCACATTTCTTTGTACTTATTATTTGTTACGTATATTAAATTTAATAATAGCTGTGTCTAGTACAGAGCATCTATTCAATTTTCATAAGAATGGTGACCGATTTAAAAATATTATTATTACCTAACATACGGTAATGTGTTCTGTTAGAAGATGAAGATAAAATGCTTTTCTTCTCTTATACTCGCATACGCATGGTGTACAATGGTAAGACGCCACTATAAAATGAAACAATAAGGATAAAGACCACATGGATAGGATATATTAATATCAATGAGAACTATTATTCTTATAAACACTCCCTACTTCCCCCGTGTTTAGGTCATAATTATGTAAGTTAGTTAAGTATGTAACAGATACTGATACCACAAGTTCAGTTATCTAAACGAACGGTATCAGAACAATGTTATATTGCGCGTGGGCGGGACAGGTGGGAACGTGAGGCAGGCGGGACAGAAGGGGCACAAGCAGCAGGGCGCGGTGGCAGAGGCGAGCGCTTATAGAGCTTCCTGTGAGCTAAATTAAGACTTCGCCAAGGGGAAACGTTTCTCTTTCATCAGAATAACATTCTCGAGTTTCATATCTCTCTATAAATCTATATTTACAAAATGGTTTATCCTGACTAACTATCAATGCACAGTCGAAAGGACTAAGTCTAGAAATTTGAAATTTAGAAAATATATTTATAGAAAATTTTAACTTAAAAAACAAATATGATATTACAAGTACAAATCCGCGGGCAGCAGCTAGTATCACATAAAACAATACCTTCGTATACTTAAAACTATGTAATAATTCCAAACGCTCTTTGTGCCCTATTACGACGTTTAAAATATAATTACATGTCATTATCAGTTTCCACTAATACATTTTATATATAATAATAAACATCTATCCAACACGTGAATTCATTTATGACGATACATGTTTTTATGACGATTTAATGTTTATTCATGGACGTATTTTTTTCAGTTTTTAGTTAGCAGAAAATTCTAAACGTGTCAGTAAAATTTTATGCAAAATAAACTTGTGTTCACCCGTATATTGTAGCAATGCCGTAATTAACAAAACTGTGTTCGCCGCTCTGTGTAACTCGCGCACTGCAAACCTTTCGCGAAATAGGCACTTTTGTAGCGGCAAGCGTAACTCGTAGTCGTATTCGTAGCATGCTTCGTAGGTAACGTAGCTATATTTACGCGTCTACAATTTTTTTCATTGCCACACGATGCCTGCCATAAAAAAAATTTATTATACTTCCTACTAATATTATAAACGTGTTTTTGTTTTTAAATATTTGTCTACTCAGTAGTAGTACATAAGCTTCCTCATATTGGAAAGTTTTGCCAGTAGTTGCTACGCTTGACAAAACTAAATAAAACAATAATAAATACTGATCATATTGGAATGAAATTTTGTACACGGGTAGGTTTTGGGTGACAATGAAATGGTAACCCCACCTGTACTATCGATATATTCTGGCGAGATACCAGTGAAAATTGATACATGAGGATGAAATTAAGACAGTCAGGCCCATACAACTACAATGATATCCAGGCCGAACCTAGTAGAGGTCTACATGGTAGGTTATATTGCTAGCAATGGAGCTGTTACACGCTATTACTGACTAACCTTTCCTCCCTACACGGGTAGGTTATACCCCAGATAATATGTTATACTTTATTGCATATGATATTTTTTATACTAATGAACTCTGACAAAGTCGAAGGAAACGAATAGTTAAAAAAATCTTGATTTGAAATATTTTCAATTCCTAATCTTTATATTATAGTTATTACATCATATCTTAATATTAAGTTTAAATTTTTGTTACCCTTAATCTGATGAACAGATTTAAAAGATAGAGTTAACAAACATTAATATTAACATTACGTTAATAATGTTCATAGCGCTTTTAGCTCTAAATTCGCCATTGAAACAAATTATAAGTTGACTGTGGGCCTAATGCTTTACATACTCGTATCTAAAAGCGAGTAGTCACCTTGTTGCTTCTTAGTTAAGGAATACAGCACAATTTGAGTGGCAGTATAGCATTGTGGAGTGAAAATTATTTTATATCGTAGTTAATGCGTGGTATAAAGCAATTGAGTAGTCAATTTCGTTGATTATATAAGCACACACCCAGTTGCGTGTAAGTACACCTATATGAACTCTCGTATAGCTGTACTTTCGTCAAAGCGTACGTATTTATTAAAGAAACTCATTCATCAAAGACTTTCTTTGATGAAATTCCCTTTCTACTATTTTTATTAAGGTCGAAGCTCTTTCGCTTTTCTTTTTTAAGTATTTGCCTTAGTTCTAAATATCATCTCACACAAAAAAACTTCTAAGATATTTATAATTCTTTTTCTGACAGACACTATTACGTACTTAGAAATAACAATAATATATATTTAAAATAAACGAGGAAATGGATAGATTTCTATAAATATTTTATATGAAAATTTGTTTTCATTTACAGCACTTTTCCATTTTTAACTATAATTGATCTAGGACGAGTTGAGCATTTCTTTAAAAGAAAGCTCATATATTACGTTAATATAATCATATGTTGTATCTAGGAACAATATATTCCCTTAGTAATGACTACAACACAATAAATTAATATTTTTTCGCCGTGTGGTCCCGATATAAAATAGGCTATCCCTTCCTTTCCCGTGGGTGTGGTAAAAGGCGAATAAGGGAGGACGAAGGATGAACAGCAGCGTCCCTCTTAATATCTCCAAAGCCTAACCGTCTGTAAGCGTGGCAACTACTGGCGAAACCCCCCAAGGAAGGGCTCAGGTTTAGCAGTGGACAGTTAAAGACTATGATGATGATGAAATAAATATTGTATTTATGTACGTACATCAATGACTGCACTGACTCTGTAGCACGAAGTGATGTTGATGCAGCAGTAGTGGTGATGCGGTTGTTACTTGTCAGTGAACATGAATGTTTTTCTCAAATTCTACTAGGATATAGTTTTATTTTTATATGACTGGAAATGCTGGTCATATTTAGTGTCTTTTTATTTACCATCTTTTTTAACAACCTCTAAAAAGGATATGCTCTTATGTTTAATTCTTATGATTTTTTTGTGTACATTTTCATTTATGATATTTTATAGAAACTTCGTAATTTTTTAAAATAATCTCTTGGGTATACATGGAGATATGTACTATATGAATGAAAAAGCATGCAAAGTAAATTTAAAAATTAATTCTGTGTTTATATATGTATATATATTTAATGAAAAAGTTTCGAACATTAAATGAGCAATTTAGTTATGTATGGAATATTAATATATACCTATAAGTTTACTTGATAAGGGTTGAAATATCAATTACTGATTTAGGTAGCTACCTACATTTTCAGGTAAATGATTACCATAGTAAGCACATGTTAACGTCGTCGTTTTAATGAGATATGTCATATTGAAAACATGTTTACTATCATTAGTATCTTATCAATAACTTGTTATGTATGACATAATAATGTCTGAGGGAAGGTCTACTGAGCCATATAGTTCACTTTGTCGATTCTGTCCTGTTCAGACCTTTCTCCGAAATTTATAACAAATTTTATTAAATTAGACTATGCAAACTGCTTTTCAATTTATGAACTTATCCATTAAGTTCAAGTTTCAGTTAATATCGAAGTTTCAGCTATTTCCTCTGCATATACTAAATATAGCCATCATTTCACTAGAATTGATAATAACATATCATATTAATAGGAACAAGTACATCACAAGTATTTAACAATGGCTCGTATAGTCGGTTTCAATGGAATTTAATGAAAAGGTAGTCAAGTTTTGTTTAAATTATCACAGAAATACTTTCTACATAAAATTAGTAATAAATTAATATAGTTCTTTAATTAATCTATTTTTGGTTTGTGGTACTATTGGATGTCAGCAGATTGTCTTATCGGCGAGTAAATTGTAAATTATATATTGTGTATTGTATTGTTATTATATGTTGTTGGATACTTACCATTGGGTGAGCCGCATGCTTGTTTGCGCCCCTGTGTTATATTTTTTTTTAAGTTAATATTATACATACATATATATGACATTATTAGAAACGTATACTTTTTAAATTTTTGTTATATATATTTGTAACAAAAATAAAAAAAAATACATCCTATACAAATATTTGCAATTTGTACAAATTGCTTGTAT